GTTTTAGAGTTGTGGTTTCTTAGAGTCATTACTAAGCAATTTTAGATCTAACTATGTTTTAGACAGTTTTGCACAGGTGCATTTTGTGATTATATTTAAATTAATATGAGTATTGCTCCTTTGTTTTAAGCCTATTGTTTTCTTGCTAGAGAATACAATCACAAAATTTCTAAGAGATTTATTTCTGTAACTCAGGAAAAATTTTAAAGATTAATTATCAATCTACATATAGCCTGTGACCACAGCTTATATTTTATTGTAGTTTTGTTGATATGTTTACATTTTCTTCCTCTAAAAAATTTTATTACTGCTTATTAATGAGTTCAATATAACACACCTCCCTTTTCCAAGGCATGGTCAAATTGCATGTATGTGTCTTTCCGAAGTATTTTTCTTGAATAAATATTTTCCTGATATTTTCAGGTAACATCAAAGGAGCAACAATAGTAGATGCCCTGGATACACTCTTTATTATGGGGATGAAAGATGAATTTCAAGATGCAAAATCATGGATTGAAAAAAATTTAGATTTTAATGTGGTAAGTTAAATAAAAGTTGTTACTACAGTTTTTATAAGGGGTTTTGGTGATGCATTTGTTGAAGTCTTCGCATGCTAATTAAAGGCCAGCAGTTAAAACCTAGCTATTTCATGAAAGACATGGCAGTCTGTTTCTGTGAAGACTACAGCTTTGGAAACCCTTTGGAGCAGTTTTTGCCAACAGGTCGCTGTGATTCGTAATTGACTTGATAGCAACACGTTTGGTTTTATTGTTGCTTTGGAATTAAGTTCTTAAATTTCAGTTAATGTGGATGAATTCTGCAGTGAGGCAGACTTTTATATTGTGCTGTTGTTGTTAAGTGCCGCCAAGTTGGTTCTAACCCATAACGACCCTGTATAGGGTTTCCAAGTAGTAGCTGGTGAGCTTGAACTACTGACTTTGTGGATCAAACTGACTTTGCAGTCCAGCGCATTAATCTATAGCACCACACCAGGATTCCATATTGTTCTGTAGCCCAGCAGAAGCAAGTAATACAGTTTGTAAATATATTAAGAGTGTTATCATCACACTTGGTTTTCCTTACTACTAAAATGCATGTCTTTGACTCATGGCAAGTTAAAGATAAGAAAAAAGAAAAATATTTATGAGGCCTACATGGAGCGCTGGTAGCGTAGTGGTTACGAATTGGGCTGCGAATTGCAAGGTCAGAAATTCGAAACTACCAGCTGTTCCGTGGGAGAAAGATGAGGCTTTCTTCTCCTGTGAAGATTTACAGTCTCGGAAACCCTGCCCAGGCTCGCTATGAGTCGGAACCGACTCCACGGCACACAGCCACCACTACCACATGTGCTAGGTATTCTTGTTCAAGTCCCACAGCATCGCTGTGACATAGGTATTGTCTTTGTACCTTTACAAATTAGAAATCTGAGTTTCACAGGCTTTCTCCACACCACACAGCTAGTTGTGTGTCTGAGCTGTGATTCTAGCACAAGTCTTTGTGACTCCAAAGCTCATGCTTTTGTACTGGGCCATGGTCTATCTATTAGAAGTTACATCTGCTTTCCATTAATAATGACTTTAAATTTCATTGTCATATGCTCTGATCAGTACAAAATTTTGACAGTGTCTGGTAGCATAGTGGTTACGAATCGGGCTGCGAACCACAAGGTCAGCAGTTCAAAACTACCAGCAGCTCCGCAGGAGAAAGGTGAGGCTTTCTGCTCCCATAAAGATTTATAGCCTCGGAAACCTTGTTCAGGGTCATTATGGGTCGGAACCGACTCAATGACACTTAACAACAACAACAATGTATAACATGTGTTTAAATTTTTTGTGTATCTGCTATCATTACTGGGAGTTCAGTAGCTCCATACAATAAGCACTGGACTCTGAACCAAGGTCCACAGTGCCAGTCCACCAGTCACTCCTTTTCTGCTCCTGCAAAGACTTAAAAGCCTGGGAAACCCTGTACAGGGTCACTGTGAGTCAGATCTGACTCAATAGCACTTAACAACAACAACTATCATCATTAGAAAATACCTCAAAACACATTGTGTACTAAAGGAAAGGCTCAGGATTAAGGATAGTGGACACTTCTAATACTTGATAATTTAAATTTGGGAGGACTGCTTTTTGTCAGATCTAATTGGATAGTCAACGATTTACTTTCATAGTGAAGTAGGCAAAGAACTTCCTTTAAGAAGGAAACGTGTCAGTCCTGCCATTTTTTGGTTATTCACTTATATTTAAATTATTGCCATTAATTTTAATCTGAGATTATTTTACAGAAATCCCTTCACACCTCATTGATTTAGTGCTAACCAACCCACTGCCACTGAGTCAATTATAACTCCTAGTGACCCAGTAGGAAAGAGTAGAATACATCTATAGGATTTCCAAGGCAGACTGCTAGTGGGTTCAAACCACTGACCTTTCTATAAACAGACAAGTGCTTTGACCTCTGCACCACTGGGGCTCCTGGCTATTTGGTAAGGGTCTGATAATATCTGTAAATTTCTATAATTGGGCACAATTGAAGTGCTTTATACTGAAAATGAACAAAAAGAAAGGTGGTGTTTCTATTAGCCTACCTTCTGCTTTGTGGAGCCTTAATCCCCACCATAGTCCAAGTGTTCTCAGTCAAAATTAAGAGTAGTAAAGCTGGATTAAAGTTATAAAACATAAATTTAGATTTTTAATATTTTATTTCTGTTCTCCAAATTGGAGTCCTGGTGTAGCACTGTAGGTTAAGCGCTGGACTGCAATGTCAGTTTGAATCACAAGATTGGCTGTTCAAACTCACCAGCCATTCCTCAGAAATCCAATAGAGAATTGCTATGAGTCAGAACCTACTCAGTGGACTTAACAACAGCAGACCTGTAATTAGTTCTCTTATACTCTCAGTTTTAGAGACCACTACCTAAAAGAGCAAGCATAGAAGTCTGTGTTTCATTTGCCTTATACCTGAGTCTAGAATATAAGGAAAATCGGATTCCAATATAAAGGGACCTTGGAGATTAATGTATTCATTCCTTTTATTTTAACAGTGAGAAAGCAGGCCTAAGGAGCTAGTGATTTGTTCAAGGTTATACAGCTTTGATAGAAATGACCTGTGATAGCTTTGATTTTACTTTTGAAAGAACTAAGTACGATGGAAAAAATGTTTCTGTTTGCTGTTTTGTTCTCTCTTAATATCTTAATAATGCTTTAAAAAAATAAAAACTTTATGTTGTGATTTGAGTGAAAATTTACAGAACACATCATCCATTTAACATTCAACAAATCATACACTTTATTTCATCTCAATGATTGCAATCCCGTCGGTGCAACATCACTTATCTCACTAATTTCCTGTAGTTCTTGTTTCCGTTCCTTTTACTTTGTCAACGTTTCTGAATAATGCTGCCCTTTCTGTCTTGAGTGGTTGATCATTCTATAGTATGTGTACCTCACTAATATTGTTGTCCCTCTCTCTATCTATCTTAATAATTTTGCCCTTCCTTCTTGTTATTAGTAAATCTAGCTATCTACCTTCAAAAACCTATACTATGGTAGAGAAAATGGATAGTGTTTCTCTCTCCCTCTCCTTCCCATTGTCTGTCTGTCCTTCCATCCCTTTAGTCCTCTTTTTTGTTTTCAAGAATGAGAAGATTATTCCAAAAACCTTACAATGGAAGACAGGAAAGTAGACTTTAATGGCACTAGATTTGCACACTCCCAGGTCCCTTGTTGTTTCTCGGCAGCAATTATTATTTGGGGTGGGGAGACCAGTGGGACAGGCCTGGTGTATTTTAGAGGACTAAGCCAAAAGTCTTTTACATGATGAACAACACGTTACTTTAAAGGAAAGTACTCAGCCCCGTAATATGAATGTGTCCTGTGGGCCATGAGGACCCTGTGAGATAGCAGAGTGAAGCTAATAGAGATATCAGAACATAGCTAGAAGAACAGGTTACTCAGCTTCCTTACTAGTAAGAGAAAATAAGGATTGTACTATCACTAAGTGATTGGTAAGATACAGAACTTAAAAGTTCCTATTTTGTATTTAAAATTTTATTTTTGTTCTGTCAGTAAGACTTTATCTGATTAGTTTACACTTTTGTGTACAGTATCAATTTAGAACAGATCCTTATATCAGGAAACGAGATTAAAAAAACAGACAAACAAAAAGATGAAATTATAATCTTGGGCTCTACCTTTCAAAATATATTTTGAAAAAAATCATAACTCCAGACCTCAAATTTCTGTCATTGCGTCATTCTTAATGTAAGAGTTCTTAAAACATTTACTATAGTTCTCGCTTTGATTATTGCTGTATTTTTCTTTTAAAAAATAATACGTATCCAAATGATAGTATTCCCATATAAGGATTAGTAGCAGAGTCAGAGCAGAGCTAGCGAGCTGAGGAGTTGTGTGATCGCATCTAGACCCAGTAGCTCTTGCAGCATGGCTGACCAAAGAGCAGATTGCAGAATTCAGAGAAGCTTTTTCACTATTCGATAGGATAGTGGTGATGGAACAACAAAAGAATTGGGAGCTGTAATAAGGTCTCTTGGGCAGAATCCCACAAAAGCAGAATTACAGGACTTGATTAATGAAGTAGATACGGATGCTAATGGCACAATTGACTTCCCTGAATTTCTGACAATGATGGCAGAAAAATGAAAGATGCAGACCATAAAGAAGAAATTAGACAAGCATTCTGTGTGTTTGATAAGGATGGCAATCACTGTTAGAGCCGCAGAACTTCGTCATGTGATGACAAACCTTTCAGAGAAGTTAACAGATGAAGAGGTTAATGAAATGATGAGGGAAACAGATATTTATGGTTATGGTCAAGTAAACTCTGAAGAGTTTGTACAAATGATGAAAGCAAAGTGAAGACGTTGTACAGAATGTGTTCAGTTCCTTGTACAAAGTTGTTTCTTTGCCTTTTCTTTGTTTGTAAATTATCTGCTGTCAAAAGAATATGCATGTATAATAATCAGGACTTCATTCCTCCATGTTTTCTTCCATTATCTTATTTGTCATTGGTCTGAAACCTTATTTTAGGAAACAGATCAAGTAGCATGTTGCATGTAGCTTATACTGGACATATCTAAGCCCTTCTGAACAACTTAGATGGAGTTGGTCAAATGAGAGACTCTCTGGTTTATGCCTTTTTAAAAGTAGTTTTCCTTAGGAACTATCAGCAGGTTGTTTAAGTGTGGAGTTGTAACTGCATAGACTATGGGCAGTTAATAATATGTTCATTAAGTGGCACTATTGCAAAATGAGTATATTATCCAAGTTGTTGTTAAGTGCTGTCGAGTCAATTCCGACCCATAGTGACCCTGTGTAGGGTTTCACAGGAGCAGCTGGTAAGCTTGAACCTCCAACCTTGCAGTTCAAATGACTTTGCAGTCTGACGCACAGTGCCACACCAGGAGTCCAAGTACTAGTACATAAATTTTTTATACTGCTGGTCCTGTACCAGAAACATATTCTTTCATTGTTACTTGCTTTTTAAACTTTTTTTAGTCACTTAAAGTCTGTTTATA